AGGCACACCCAAAATTAGAAGAAATAGATAACAAAGACCAAGTTAAAAGACACATTTATATGTTACTAGTCTCTGGGTACGTGTGTTGCACGGGTATCCAAGCAATGACTAATTCATGTTATGGTTTCCGACACTTTGAATATTGAACATAAATTTATGTGTAAAAAATCACTAAATTGCAAAAAATAGTCGACATGAACCATGAGTCATTTAGTACAAAACTGAACACATAAAATATGATTTTTAGATATTAATAATAGAAACAATAGTGAGAAAAACATATTAATAAAACAGTCAGAAGTAAGATTTTCACTAAAAGAGGTTCAAAATATGAAGAACTAAACACACGAAGGTTCAACATATACTATATATACATAAAAAACTATTTAAACCATATATATAAATAGTGTAATTTTTTGTCAAAGAGGATTTGAATGTACCCTCTCAGCCTTACCTGACTCCCCCGATAAAACAGATGGGTCAAGAATGATGCTTTCAACTTCATCTCATATTAATTTCCGTTAAGATTGTGCTTTGTAATAACAATAAATATAAGTGAATAGATTTATTTTCTAATCAGGGTGGCTTGCATTTTCCTTAAACTTTTGTAACCCATAAAATTATTGTGCAAGATAACTCTTACAAATCTCTATGACTTCATTGCATTATACGTTAGCTTCTAAATAACTTTAGGAAATGACTGTTCAAATACATTTTATACTGCAACAGATGAATCTGATCTATAATTATACATGAAAGGTAACTTTTCAAATTACTTATCTATTTTTTCAAATTAATTAAGGAAATCAATGCATTGATTTTGAAAGAATACATTATACATGCATTTGAATCTAGTCCATATTATTGAACCACACAAAGTAACCTTTCAGATTCTTAACCTTTTGAGAGTAACTAAGAAAATTAATGCATTGTTTTTTAAAAGAATGAATTATATCAATTTAACACCTTCTCACTTTTAGTATTTAGTATAATATAATATGATTAGCTACTTAATATTTAATTAATTAAATATTTTATAATATTATGATTGAATGTAAGGGTAAAATGGTAATTCAACTTTGCACTTAGTAATGGCCGGCCCTTAGTAATATATGATGATGATGATAATGATATATACGTTGTTTTATCAATCTTAACTTTTCAAATTCTTCCGTTATGAGAATTATGATTATGATTAAAAACAATATCAATGTACTCATTTATCAAGAAAGTAATAATTTAATCATTAAAGGGCTTAAGAACTTAAATTCTACCATTATGTAATTAAAATATTTGTATTTAATTAAATAATTAATCAAATTTTAATTTAGTAATAATGACAAAATGGTAATTCAACTTTTCAATTTGGATATTATATATATATATATATAATGCTTATATAAAACTAATTAAAAAGTACAGTTCACTGTAGTTTTCGTTATTGCATGTGATTTGTAGAAGAATCGGATCACATTTATTTTTTTGTTGCCTACAAAGAAAAAAATTCGAACACCCCATGATTATTATTTTTTTTATATTCAAGTTAAATTTTAACTTCTTTAGTCAAGGAATTCTATACCATTGGTTGACTTAGTCATCTTTTGTCATTATTTGGAGAAAGAAAATTTATGATACCAAATTAAATATTTGATATAACAATCAAAACAATAACGTGTGGAAAAAAAAAAGGCTCCAATATTAGAATATTCAACAAAATATTGGAAATTTGCTATTAAAGATGAAGACAACTTAACAAATCAATTTTCTTGGTATTAACGAGTAATAGTAAATTAGTCAAGCTCTGTGTGGTTTGTAAAATCACACTAAATTTATGAAATGATCATAATTTTATAATATTTGAATACAAAAATAAATTCAATAATATAAACCTAAAATTGGACACAAATGTGTTTTAATTTATTTTTTTTGAGATACAAAAAATATGGATTCGATTGAGTTCAATATCTTACATAATATTTGAAACTCTTATCTTTATTTTATAAAAAAAATACTACTGTATTTTACTTTCTCATGTTATTAATGTTTTATGTTTTTACTTTTCTTTTTGTAAGAAAATGTTTTTAATTTTTCTCCTATTAAATTGATTCAAATATTTTGAAAAATGTTTTTCACTAATTTTCATCCAATTTAAGAAAAAAAAAAGATTTTCCTATAAAAAGTAAGGAAACCATATTCCAAAAACTCTTTTTCAACCTAACTACCCAACCCCGACTGAGGATCCGACTCTTGATCCTAATCAACAACCTGATTTCCGATTCCGATTCCAGACCTAATTGTCGATACTGGACCCAACTTTGACCTCGACCCAACCTAGAACCCAACTCCCCACCCCGATCCCGATCGATGACCGGACTCTCGCCCCGATCCTGACCGAAGACCCGACCCTCGCCCCAGTTCAGACCCTGATCTAGGACTCAATTCCCAACCCGACTCTTAGTTCGGACCATGAACCCAATCCTAACTCCAATTTGAGATCCAACTCTCGGCCCTTACCTAGGATCAACCTCGATTCGAGATCCAACTACCAATCTGAATCCCGACTGGAAACCTAACTCTAGATTTTTATATTTAAGTTAAAATTTCCTAATATTGATTATTTGTAAAAAAAAAAAATAATAATAATAATAAAATCTATAACAAATATTACTTAAATGGGGCAGCAAAATTAGTACACCCCATGAAATTTTTATATTTAAGTTATTAATTCACTTCTTTGTTTGGACTTCTTGCAACAAGAGAATTATATACCATTAGTTGACTTAAAGTCTTCTTCTGTCATTTTTAGACAAAGAAAAATTATGATACCAAATTAAAGATTGATTTAACACAATTGAAACAGTATCGTGTGGAAAAAAAGGGCCCAATATTAGAATATTCAACACAATATTGGAAATTTGCTATTAATAATGAAGACAACTTCACAAATCAATTTTCTTGGTATTAATGAGTACTAGTAAATAAATCATATCAAAATTCTTTTTCAACCTCACTATCCAATCTTGATCGAGAATCCGACTCTTGACCCTAACAAGAGACCAACTCCTGATTCGGGTTCCGACTATGATCTCGACCAACCTCAGGACCAGACTCCCGATCCGCCCCGACTCTGATCACGGACTCGACTCTCGATCCAGACTTCGATCTAGGACTCAACTCCTAACCCTATTCCATTTGGCACCCTTTTGATTATTATTTTTATATATAAATCTATGCTCAATTATACATATCTAAAACACATTAAGATTAGTTAAAATTTCAGTCATGCTTAAATATTCGTGCAGTTTTTATAACAAATGTTACTTAAAGGGACAACAAAATTAGAACACCACATGATTTATTTTTTTAATGTAAGTTAAAATTCACTTCTTTATTTGGACTCCTTGACTAAGTAGTGGCTACATTTTCAAGATAAATAATTCTATGCCATTAGTTGACTTAAAGTCTTATTTGTCATTAATTGGACAAAGAAATATATGATACCAAATTAAAGATTGATATAAAAATTGTGTCATATCATGTTTTCTTCACCTTTAATACAACTAAATTCTTGAACTCTTTACAAATATTAGCTTATTCAACACAATATTGGAAATTTGCTAATAATAATAAAGACGACAACTTTACAAGCCAATTTTTCTTGATATTAATGAGTCATGAAGAAAACTTTTCTATGTTAACTAATTTTGGGTGGTGTCATATCATGTTTTCTTCAGCCTTGTATGGATGGTTGTTACCGATTTAGTATTGTATTGTTAGTTTAAATGTTATGTTTGTTTGATTGTTATTCAAATTTTATTGTAACGTATCGTTCAAATTCATCGTTAGTTAACAACGAAAAGTCTCGTAATGGTTGATTTAACGTGATCATGCTGTTACCTTAGTGTTTTCTTCTCATTTTGTTTTTACTTATTATTTAATAATCTTATTCTTCTTCAGGAAAAAATATATAGTATGTAAGACAAACTTGTGATATGTATTTACTTTACATTAACTATAGTTTAAATGAATTATAATTCATAGTTATAGTTAAAGTTTTATAGCAAAGTTAAAGTTTTATAGCAAATTTATCTCACTCTGTGCTCGCCTCTCTCCCTCCTCAATTGGCAGAATACAATCTATTCAAAAGTGACGATATTCATTAAAATAATACAATATGAAACAATACGTAACACCATCCAAACTGGTTAAAAATTTGTGACTGGAAAAATTCATCACAAGTTCCATTTTGTGATGGAATATTAATATATGATAATTAAACAAGTAAAAACTCCATTGAGGATCATTCTCTTAGAACTAATCACTTCACATTACTTGTTTCATCACACATTTTCATTTTATCAATTAAATGTTTGTGACAAATTCAAATGTCTGTCACAAACTTTATTTTTTGAACAAACATCATAAAATTTAGCATGAACTTGATATTTTATTCAGAACAACACGAATTACGTACATAATATGTGATGTCAAGCAACAATTACATCTATTTTTGCAGAATCAGAACAACTCTCAAGCAACTTCAGAGACTCAGTTGAGCTTATTGAAGAACTACTTAGATTGAATTCCAATGAACATGGTTCCCGCGATTCAGAGGGCCTGGGAGGCGTTTGCAGTGCTTGTAATTTGCCTTCAAGCATTTCCACTACTTTAGTCATTGAGGGACGATCAAGTGGATTCATTTGTATGCACCACAAAGCAACTAAAGTCAGCTTCTTTACGTC